TGCTGTCTGAATATATATATATATACACACACACACACACATACATACATACATGCACACATTTTAAATTAATGTTTGCAATATCAATATAATCAGTGAAAATTGTTATACTTTTTATTCTCCAGGATTCTTTGATGAATGTAAAGTTGAAAAATAACTGCATTTATTTAATTAGAACTGTTCTGTAAGATTGCATTTGTCTTTATTGTCACCTCTGATCAATATCCTGTGTTCATGGTGAGGAAATGTATTCAAGGTTACTGTAGTAGATTAAGAAAAACTAAAACAGACCATCAAATAAAATCAGAGACATGAGCGCGAGAGACGCAGATGAAGTGTGTGTTCTGATGCGCAGCAGCTGCTGTCTGGAGCTCAAGACTGAGAGAAAAACATCAAAGAATGACAGAAATCAATGAAGAAGTAAAGAGAACAACTGAGACGTACAGGAGAGAGAGAGAGAGAGAGAGAGAGAAAGAGAAAGAGAGAGAGAGAGAGAGAGAGAGAGAGATTACACCGCTGATCTGACTGAGAGTCTGCTGAAACCAATGGAGACACACACACACACACACACACACACACACACACAGCATCTATTCTTCTGCTAAATATGATGGAGAGTTCATGTCTCATCTGTGACAGATCTCCTGAGAAATGTTGCGTAAAACAAGCAGGTTTAACAAGAGATGGAGGATGAGGAATAAAACACAAGCGAGAGGAGCGAGAGAACAGATGCCTTCATCCTGATCAGTTAGTAGAGTCGTCAGCTAGTTATCTGGTTAGTTCGTTAGTAGGTAAGTTAGTGTCTAAGTTGGGTTTAGGGTTAGGTTAACTGGTTGCTTGGTTAGATCATTAGATCAGGTCAGTAGGCTCGTTATTAAGTAAGTTAGTAGGTTAGTTAGTAAATATGTTAGTTAGTTTTTTAGAAAGTTAGTAATTTAATTGGTTAGTTGGTTGATTAGTTAGTAGGTAAGTTAGCTCATATGTTGTTTAGTTGGTTAGTATGTTAGATTGTTAGTAATTAAGTTAGTTAGTTAGCTAGTTAGTTAGTTAGTTAGTTGGTCTAGTTAGTTAGTTAGTTAGTTAGTTAGTTAGTTAGTTAGTTAGTTAGTTAGTTAGTTAGTAATTTGGTTGGTTAGTTAGTAAGTTATTTAGGTTGTAACTTTGTATATAAGTTGGTTTGCTAGTTATTAAGTTAGTTACTTAGCTAGTTCGATAGTATGTTAGTTGGTCTAGTTAGTTAGTTAGTTAGATAGTAAGTTAGTCAGCACATATGTTAGTTTGTTAGTAAGTTAGTAATTTGGTTGGCTAGTTGGTTGATCAGTTAGTAGGTAAGTTAGCTGGTATGTTGTTTATTTGGTTAGTATGTTGGTTGGTTTGTTAGTAATTAAGTTATTTAGTTAGTGAATTAGTTAATTAGATAGTTAGTTGGTAGCTTAATTAGTTGGTCAGTATGTTAGTAGCTTAGTTATTAGGTGTGTTAGTTTGTTAATAAGTTAGTAATTTGATTGGTTAGTTAGTTAGTAAGTTACTTAGTACATAAGTTAGTATGATAGTTGGTTTGTTCGGAATTAAGTTAGTTAGTTAGCTAGTTAGATAGTATGTTAGTTAGTTGGTCTAGTTAGTTAGTACATTAGTTAGTTAGTAATTTGGTTGGCTAGTTGGTTGATTAGTTAGTAGGTAAGTTGGCTGGTATGTTGTTTATTTAGTTAGTATGTTGGTTGGTTTGTTAGTAATTAAGTTATTTAGTTAGTGAATTAGTTAATTAGATAGTTAAATGGTAGCTTAATTAGTTGGTCAGTATGTTAGTAGCTTAGTTATTAAGTGTGTTAGTTTGTTAATAAGTTTGTAATTTGATTGGTTAGATAGTAAGTTACTTAGTACATAGGTTAGTATGTTAGTTGGCTTGTTCGTAATTAAGTTAGTTAGTAAGCTAGTTAGATAGTATGTTAGTTAGTTGGTCTAGTTAGTACATTAGTTAGTTTGTTAGTAAGTTAGTAATTTGGTTGGTTAGTAAGTAGGTAAGTTAGTTAGTATGTTTAGTTACTAACTCAGTTAGTTAGTAGGTTTATTTGTAATAAAGCTAGTTAGTAGGTTCGTTAGCTAGTTAGTTAGTTAGTTCTGGAGACTCACCTTCTGGTGTTGGCTGAGCTCAGAGCTGCTCCTCAGATAATCTTCCAGAACTCTCTCTGCAGAAGACTTCCTGTTTCGAGCCATGGACTTCCTGTTCTGCTCTGAGCAATGGAGCTCCAGCATGAAGAGAGCCAGATCAGACAGAGCCAGCCTGAGTCCAACACACACCCGCACTACTGGGAGACCAGACCAATCCATCTACACACACACACACACACACACACACACACACACACACACACACACACACACACACACACACACACACACACACACACACACACACACACAACACACACACATTAATATAATAATATTATTATTACTTCATTATTCCCTCCCCCCCAACATTTCCTCTCTGACCCCGTGCACATGCTTCTATTTCAGTCCTCTGTTCAATGCAGAAATATTAATATCAAGTTCAACAGAACACAATCCAGTGTTTGATGTTTATTTTAACACAATATTGTATTTTTCAGTTGATTCTAGTTTCATTCATAAACAAACAGATCTTGGTCCTGGTCTCCTTTAGTTTGACAGTAGCTGTCAGTGAATGAAAGTGGATGTCTGACAGTAAACCCATGTTTATTTTAACAAACTGTGTTATCTGCTGATTGTTGAAGTCAATATAAATCAGAGTTTAAGCGTAATGTCACGTTTTCTAAACAAGAAGACAAGAACTAATGTGATGTGTGAAGTGTTTTAAATTAGAGCTCAGTTATAAACAAAAGCAGCTGAACACAGTAAATCAACTCAGATTTACCAACCATTTAAGCAAATCGATGCATCATTTTGATCTGAGTAACAAATGCAGAAGCTTGATATGTACAGAGTGTAGGTATAAGAAAAACACAACACTATATACTGTATACATTCACCAACCACTTTATTAGGTACACCTTACTAGTACTGGGTTGGACCCACCTTTTGCCTTCAGAACTGCATTAATCCTTCATGGCAGAGATTCAACAAGCTGCTGGAAATATTCCTCAGAGATTTTGCTCCATATTGTCATGATAGCATCACACAGTTGCTGCAGATTTGTCGGCTGCACATCCATGATGCCAATCTCCCGTTCCACCACATCCCAAAGCTGCTCTATTGGATTGAGCTCTGGTGACTTTGGAGGCCATTTGAGTACAGTGAACTCATCGTCATGTTCAAGAAACCAGTCTGAGATGATTGAGCTTTATGACATGCTGCGTTATCCTGCTGGAAGTAGCCATCAGAAGATGGAGACACTGTGCTCATAAAGGGATGGACATGGTCAGCAGCAATACTCAGGTAGGCTGTGGCGCTGATGCTCAATTGCTACTAATGGACCCAAAGAAAATCTCCCCCACACCATTACACCACCACCACCAGCCTGAACCGCTGATACAAGGCAGGATGATCCATGCTTTCATGCTGTTGAGGCCAAATTGTGAGTCGAGCATCCGAATGTGTCAGCAGAAATGGAGACTCATCAGAGCAGCAACGTTTCTCCAATCTTCTATTGTCCAGTTTTGGTGAGTCTGTGTGAATTGTAGCCTCAGTTTCCTGTTCTTAGCTGACAGGAGCGGCACCCGGTGTGCTCTTCTGCTGCTGTAGCCCATCCGCCTCAAGGTTGGCCGTGTTGTGTGTTCAGAGATGCTCTTCTGCAGAGCTCGGTTGTAACGAGTGCTTATTTGAGTTACTATCGCCTTTCTATCAGCTGGAACCAGTCTGGCCATTCTCCTCTGACCTCTGGCCTCATCAACAAGGCATTTGTGCCCACAGAACTGCCGCTCACTGGATATTTCCTCTTTGTCGGAGCATTCTCTGTAAACCCTAGAGATGGTTGTGCGTGAAAATCCCAGTAGATCAGCAGTTTCTGAAATACTCAGAGCAGCCCGTCTGGCAGCAACAAACATGCCACGGTCAAAATCACTTAAATCCCCTTTTTTCCCCATTCTGATGCTCGCTTTAAACTGCAGCAGATCGTCTAGACCATGTCTACATGCCTAAATGCATCAAGCTGCTGCCATGTGATTGGCTGATAAGAAATTTTTATTTGGTGTACCTAATAAAGTGGCCGATGAGTGTATATACACATACACACACTGATAAATGTCAATTATTTTTGCTAATTATAATTTCGTTTCACTCTTAGCTTTTGTGTTTTAAAATAGCATTGCTATAAAGGTTTTGTTTTGTTATTACTAGCATGTATTGTCTCCACTGGCTTGCATGATTCAGGATCTGTAGAGCTGCGCATCGATGGATTTGCTCTTCAGTGTTTGAACTCTCAGCAGTGAATATTAAACAACACTGAACTGAACTGAACTTCAACACTGAAACTGGACTGACACTGTAAAGCGCTATAGAAATAAAGATTAACTGAATTGAATTGATACGGGGAAAACCATGAAAGTCAATAGTGCACGCAAACTTTCCCCCGTGCCTGTATAATAGTGAAAGTGTATGAGCACAGAAAGTCAGAAAGTCAGTCGAAGTGCTTGTTTTCTGTTTCTGTCACCTCCTGTGAGTTTTCCTGCTGTATGTGCTGTAAATCTGGGTTAGAAAGCTGTGTGAGTGCTGAATTATTCATCAGGGCCACAGACTGAGGAAATGGAGGAAAGAAAACAGGAAATGACCCGATGGCCAGGACTGACCGGAGGACTAATGAGCTGAAAACGACCTTCATGAGCCAGAGTCAAGAAAACTTCTGCTGGTGTTCACTGACTTCATCTCACAGCGTTCGGATGAGGACGGAGATGAAGGTCAGTGTGACGCTATTAATAAACTCTCCATTCATCTGCTGTGTGTTAAGATGCATCTGCAGTTCACTGGTGTTGTGTTTATACAGTTACAGACCAAAATTATTCACACTTCTGTGCTGTTTAACAGACAGCTTACAGTATTGGATCATTTGTTTATATTCCTAAAGTCGTTGTGTTACTATAGCAACTGTAGAATCACCACAACAGACCAGTTGCTGCAGCTGTTGTGTTACCATAGCAACTGTCGAATCACCACAACAGACCAATTTCTGCAGCTGTTGCGTTACCATAGCAACTGTAGAATCAACACAACAGATCAATTGCTGCAGTTGTTGTGTTACCATAGCAACTGTAGAATCACCACAACAGACCAGTTGCTGCAGCTGTTGTGTTACCATAGCAACTGTAAAATCACCACAACAGACCAATTGCTGCAGCTGTTGTGTTACCATAGCAACTGTAGAATCACCACAACAGACCAGTTGCTGCAGCTGTTGTGTTACCATAGCAACTGTAGAATCACCACAACAGACCAGTTGCTGCAGCTGTTGTGTTACCATAGCAACTGTAAAATCACCACAACAGACCAATTGCTGCAGCTGTTGTGTTACCATAGCAACTGTAGAATCACCACAACAGACCAATTGCTGCAGCTGTTGTGTTACCATAGCAACTGTAGAATCACCACAACAGACCAACTGCTGCAGCTGTTGTGTTACCATAGCAACTGTAGAATCACCACAACAGACCAGTTGCTGCAGCTGTTGTGTTACCATAGCAACTGTCGAATCACCACAACAGACCAATTGCTGCAGCTGTTGTGTTACCATAGCAATTGTAGAATCACCACAACAGACCAATTGCTGCAGCTGTTGTGTTACCATAGCAACTGTAGAATCACCACAACAGACCAACTGCTGCAGCTGTTGTGTTACCATAGCAACTGTAGAATCACCACAACAGACCAGTTGCTGCAGCTGTTGTGTTACCATAGCAACTGTCGAATCACCACAACAGACCAATTGCTGCAGCTGTTGTGTTACCATAGCAACTATAAAATTACTATAACAGATCAATTACAATGTGTTGTGTTACCATAGTAAGTTAAAATTAAAATATTTTTTATAGTTGTTACCCTAGTAACTGTAGAATCACCACAACAGACCAATTGGTACAGTGTTCCCATAGCAACTATATAACTACTACGACAGACTGACTACTGTAGGAGTTGTGTTACCATAGCAACTATAAAATTACAACAACCGATCAAATTACTGTAGATGTTGTGTTACCACGGCAACTGTAGAATCACCACAACAGATCAAACACTAGTTGTTGTGTTACCATAGCAATTATAAAATATTACAACAAATCCCTTACTATAGTTGTTACCATAGCAACTTCAGAATCACCAAAGTGGATAAATTACTAGTTGTTTGGAATTACCAAAGCAACTATAGAATCACCACAACAGATCAATCACTACAGCTGTGTTACCATAGCAACTATAGAATCACCACAACAGATCAATCACTAAAGTTGTGTTATCATAGCAATTATATAATTACAACAACTAATCAATTACTATTTTTGTTATGTTCCCATAGCAACTGTAGAATCACACTAACAGAGCAATACTAGTTGTTGTGTTCCCATAGAAACTATAAAAATACGACAACTGATCGCTTACTATAGTTGTTACCGAAGCAACTGTAGTCCCAGAATCACCACAACAGATCAATTAGTAGTTGTGTTACCATAGCAACTATAAAAATATTACAGCAGATTGCTTACTATAGTTGTTACCATAGCAACTGTAGAATCACCACAATAGATCAACTACTATAGCTATTGTGTTACCATAGCAACTATAGAATTATCACAACAGTTCAATTATTATAGGTGTTGTGTTACCATAGCAACTGTAGAATCACTTCAACAGATCAATCACAAAAGTTGTTGGGTTATCATAGCAACTAAAAATCACTACAACTGATCAATCACTTTGTCTTGTTACCATAGAAAGAGTAGAATCACCACAACAGATTAATTAATTAAAAAAACAGTAATATTTACTATAATTCATACTATAGTATTTGATGATGTGTGATCCACATTCTTCTGTTGTCTTGGAAAAGCCGATTTTCTGAGGTGTAATAAATGTCACTGGACCGAGTGTGTGAGATTGATGATCTTCTGTGCAGCAGCACCATCTGCTGTATGTGGAGATCAATCTAATGCAGGAATAAAGCTCAATCACACTCTGCTAATAAAGCCACCGCAGCTGCTAAACATATGATTAATCAAAGATCCACACAACTAAGGCCTGCAAACAAAATGCAGTTGTATGTGGGGTCAAAGACACAAACAAGGCCAAATAAAATAAAATAAAATATGAAATGGAATGATCCATGTTATGGAATAAATCCATGTTCTTTCAAACCTTTAAATTTGACCGATTTGCTACCAGGAAGATTGATAATTTTTTACATAACAGCTTTTTATAATTTCAAACAGAACCACATTTAATATGATCACATATTCTTAGGTATATTTTAATTATTACAGCTTAGAATAAGTACTATTATTTCATTATTGTTTTCATTTCATTTTCTTTAGTTGTTAGTTATTTAATTATTGCAAACATTTAAATATTGTTATTATGATTATTATTAATAATAGTAATAATAATTATTAGTAATAATATATAATAATAATGAATAAATGTAAATAAAAATCCAATTAGGCTTTTATTACACTGAATAGTAGAACTGATGTAGAACTAGTTCACATATGTTTTGACATTTTATTTTCATATTGGTTGTTTGAAACATTAAATATGAGTTCAATGTGTATTTACCTTATTCTCCACATATGAGCGGGCACAGCCATTTGAATCTTTTTGCCTGTGGAATTCCGCTCTCATTCACTTCCATTCATTACTGGACATTGAAAACAGCCCATTACGCTGCTTAATGTTGCAAACTGATATTTTCCTAATATATTATTCTATTGTGTCTGTATAATCATGCAAATATTTGTTTGTATAGTGAGTAGTTTGGCTGTTTTCTGCTGTTTAGTATTTCTAGTCATTTCTCCCATAGAAAACAGAATCAGAAGTTCTAAAACATCGCACTTCTGCATTCAAGAATACGCTCAATAAGATCATTCATTCATTCATTTTTCTTCTGCTTAGCTCCTTTACTAATCAGGGCCCGCCACAGCAGAAATTATCTCGTTAAATATTCCAGCATATGTTTTATGCAGCGGATTCCCTTCCAGCTGCAACCAAGTACTGGGAAACACCCATACACACTCATTCACTCACACACACACACACTTACACACACACACACAGTACAGCCAATTTAATCAATCCCTCTATAGCGCATGTGTTTGCACTGTGGAAACTGATATAAAATCAAAGCAACTGTTTAATGATAAAATATATATAAATAAAAATTATATATAAATAAAAATCCAATTTGCCGCTTTTACACTGAATGAGTTCACACATATTTTGACATTGTATTTTCATATTGGTTGTTTAATACAACAAATATGAGTTTTATATGTATAAATCAGTTTTGCACTTTTAATTTGATGCAAACACTAAAATGGGATGTCTTTGACTATATTACAGCCCTGATGAAAAAAAAAAGGGAATAGTTTACATTACATAGTTTATGGTTAAAAACAAGAACAAATATTGCCAATGAGGTAAAAATAAAATATAAAGAAAAACATATTATATTATATTATATTATATTATATTATATTATATTATATTATATTATATTATATTATATTATATTATATTATATTATATTATATTATCAGCTTATTATATTATATTATATTACATTAAATTATATTATATTATATTATCAGCTTATTATATTATATTATATTATCAGCTTATTATATTATATTATATTATATTAAAATATATTATATTATATTATATTAAATTAAAATATATTATCTTATATTATATTATATTATACTATATTCTCAGCTTATTATATTATATTATATTATATTATATTATATTATATTATATTATATTATATTATATTATCAGCTTATTATATTATATTATATTACATTATATTATATTATATTATCAGCTTATTATATTATATTATATTATATTACATTATATTATATTATATTATATTATATTATATTATCAGCTTATTATATTATATTATATTATATTATATTATATTATATTATATTATATTATATTATATTATATTATATTATATTAAAATATATTAATATAATATATTAATATATGCCACAGCCATGTCACCCTGCAGCCCAAGACCGGTTACTCACTGAAGCTAAGCAGGGCTGAGCCTGGTCAGTACCTGGATGGGAGACCACTAGGGAACACTAGGTTGCTGTTGGAAGTGGTGTTAGTGAGGCCAGCAGGGGGCGCTCAACCTGTAGTCTGTGTGAGTCCTAATGCCCCAGTAAAAGTGAAGGGGACACTAAACTGTCAGTGGGCGCCGTCTTTCGGATGAGATGTTAAACCGAGGTCCTGACTCTCTGTGGTCATTAAAAATCCCATGGCACTTCTCGTGAAAGAGCAGGGGTGTAACCCCGGTGTCCTGGCCAAAGTCCCTCTATCGGCCCTTACGATCATGGCCTCCCAATCATCCCCTTTCACCGAATTGGCTCTATCACTGTCTCTCCACTCCACCAATAGCTGGTGTGTGGTGAAGCACTGGCGCCGTTGTCCTGTGGCAGCCGTCGCATCATCCAAGTGGATGCTGCACACTGGTGGTGGTGTGGAGAGACCCCCCTCATGATTGTGAAGCGCTTTGGGTGTACGGCCATACACAATAAATGCGCTATATAAATACACATTACATTACATTTACATTTACATTACATATTATATTATATTATATTATATTATATTATATTAAATTAAAATATATTATCTTATATTATATTATATTATA